ATACCCCAATCTAATAACCAGGATTTTCAAAATTGAAAACCTGGTTAATAAAAGATATAAACAGTATATACCTTGTTATATATAGTACTAAAAGATATAAATGGCAAATACAGTGCTATATATAGTAATAGAAGATATATATAGTATATACATTGCTATATATAGTACTAAAAGATATAAATAGCATTTAAATCTCTATAATAAATTATATAGTATTAAATAATATGAAATAGTACATACAATGCTATGCATAGTATCAAAAGATATAACTAGAAATGTGTCCATAGTACACGGTGCCCCCACACACCACCGATTTTCAATCTTATGTCTCTAGGTCAAATTTTTTGTTTTTGGCTACATGTGCCCAAGTTGAAAACTAAAAATCTTTTATTAAGTAAAGGGCAAATACTGAATAAATCCACAAGAAAACCCCAAGGTGGATAAGTACACATGCTGACCAACATTCTTGTAAACTTACAGGCCTACAGGTCAAATACTTTTTGAGTTATGTGCAACACAAGTTGAATATTGTAAATTTTTACTAAGTCAAGGGCAAAAACTCTAAAAATACTAAAAATATCCACACGAAAACACATAGGTGCACAACTACACATGCTGATCAACATTCCAGTGAGGTTTCATGACTCTAGGTCAAATATTTTTTTAAGTTACGTGTTACACAAGTTGAAAATTGCAAATGTTTACTAAGTCAAGGGCAATTACTCTAATAATACTAAATATATCCACATAAAAATACCCAGGTGCAAAACTTCACATGCTGATGAACATTCCTGTAAGGTTTCATGACTCTAGGTCAATTACTTTTTGAGCTACGTGCGACACAAAAAAAGAACCGACAGACGGATAGATGGACGGAAGGACTGACGGACGGACAAGAGTAAATCTAAATGCACCCCCCCCCCCTATAGTGGGGGCACAAAAAGTATATACATTGCTATATATAGTAATAAAAGATATAAATAGTACAACCAGTGCCATAATAGTAATAAAAGATATAAATAATATAAACATTGATATACATACATGTATATAGTAATAAAAGATATTAATAGTATATACAGAATAAAAGATATGAACAGCTTATTATAACAGTACAATATATGGTAATAAGAAATATATAAATAGCAATATGCACTACAGATCATGATGTCACATTGTTCTTGTTGAAAATAATTCTGTAAAATTTAACGAAAAACGTTACAATTTTAAAATGATATGTGCAGATATTCATGTGCTTCTTATAATGAAGAACATTTTACTCATGACAGTGTGTAATTCTGATGATATTTCCATTTATTTAAGTTATATTTTTTAATCCAAAATTAATCTAAATTCTTTGCTTCGTGCCAAGTATAAAATGCTTGGCATTGTAATTTTTATACAAAATATTTCAATATGTTAATGAACAAGATGTTCATGATGGCCCTGAAATCGCTCACCTGTATATAGGCCCCTGGGCCAATGCCAATTTTAAACCAGGGACTTTTATTTGAACAAACTTGGTAGACAGCCATTAGAAGATGTTTTATTATAATAAAATATCTAAGCTCTAACTCTTTGGGGTTTTTAAAAGAAGATTTTTTAAAGTTTTTACTGTATACATATAGGAAAAACAATGACCCCCCCCCCCCGAGGGGCCAATATTGACCCCAGGGCTTTTTTTAAATACAAATTTGGTAGACACTAACTAGAAAATATTTCATGCTTTGTATCTAAACACTTGCTCTTTTGGTTTTTTAATAGAAGATTTTTTAAGTTTTTACTCTATACAAAATAATGAAAATCAATGACCCCCTGGGGCAGGGCCAATTTTGACCCCAGGGCTTTTATTTGAACAAACTTGGTAGACATTCAATAGAAGATGTTTCATGCTTAATATCTAAGCTCTAGCTATTTGGGGGTTTTAAAGGAAGATTTTTAAGTTTTAATATATACTATATACTATATACAAACAAGCAAATTCGTTGAATTTATATCCCCCGCCGAGTACTGGTTATTACTAACACAACAACTGAAGACATAAGGCTTTATTTATATATTTATCATGGCATAAACAGTAATAATCTTTGAACTTGATAAATATTCAGGGCAATAACAGAGAGTGTTAAATAGTTATATCTGGAAATGCCAATGAGATGTATGCATACTGCATAAATAATCAAGGGCCATAAATCTGAGTTATAAGTGTCTGACCGGAACAAGGCGACTATATGCACATCTCCTCTTCGTATCCCATAAAGTTTCATTGAATTCCAGCCAGTAGTTACAGAGAAGTAGCACGGAAACGATTATTGCTCTGGTTGTATACTGCATAAGTTATCAAGGGCCATAACTCAAAGTTAAAATGTCTGACCCGAACAAGGCGATGATATGCACATCTTTCGTATTGAAGGTTCCAATAAAGTTTCATTGAATTCCAGCCATTAGTTGCAGAGAAGTAGCGCAGAAACAAATATTTTTCTATATGCATACTGCATAACTAATCAAAGGCCATAACGCTGAGTTAAAATGTCTGACCCCAACAAGGCAATGATATGCGCATCTTCTCTTGGTATTGAAGGTTCCCATAAAGTTTTGTTGAATTCCAACCAGTAAATGCAGAGAAGTAGCGCAGAAATGATTTTTGCTCTATATGCATACTGCATAACTAATCAAGAGCCATAACTCTGAGTTAAAGTGTCTGACCCAAACAAGGTAATGATATGCGCATCTCCTCTTGGTATTGAAGGTTCCAATAAAGTTTTGTTGAATTCCAACCAGTAGTTGCAGAGAAGTAGGGCGGAAATGATTTTTGCTCTATATGCATACTGCATAACTAATCAAGAGCCATAACTCTGAGTTAAAGTGTCTGACCCTTACAAGGCAACGATATGCGCATCTCCTCTTGGTATTGAAGGTTCCCATAAAGTTTCGTTGAATTCCAAATAAGGGAAATTCAATGACCCCCGTGGCAGGGCCAATTTTGACCTCAGGGAATTTATTTTAACAAACTTGGTAGACACCTACTAGAACATGTTTCATGCTTAATATTTAAGCTCTAACTATGTTGTTTTTAAAAGAATTTTTTTTTAATTTTTACTATATACAAATAAGGAAAATCAATGATCCCTAGGGGTGGTGCCAATTTTGACCCCAGGGCATTTATTTGAACAAACTTGGTAGACACTGACTAGTTGATGTTTCATGCCAAACATTTAAGCCCTAGCTCTTGCGCTTTTCTAAAAGAAAATATTTTAAGTTTTTACTATATGCAAATAAGGAATATCAATGACCCCTGGGGTGGGGCCAATTTTGACCCCAGGGCTTTTATTTGAACAAACTTTGTAGACACCTACTAGAAGATGTTTCATGCTTAATATTTAAGCTCTAGCTATTTGGGGTTTTTAAAAGAAGATTTTTTAAGTTTTTACTATATACAAATAAGGAAAATCAATGACACCCCCCCAAGGCATTCATTTGAACAAACTTGGTAGACACTGACTAGGTGATGTTTCATACCAAATATTTTAGCTCTAGCTCTTGCGGTTTTCTTAAAGAAGATATTTTAAGTTTTTTCTGTCAGTTGCCATGGCAACCAGAGTTCTGCTTGGAATTAAATTCTTTGAACAATTATTAAAGTTGATTACCAAAGGAACGTGAAGTTTGGATGAAATTGGCTAGGTGGTTTATCAATTTTAATATGTTAATGAAAAATAAATTAGTCATTTGAAGTTAAATACCCAAGGGTTGGGTCAATTTGACCCCAGGGGCATGACTTATAACACTTTTGTAAACAACATAAGATGATGCTACATCCCTGTAAGTCTTTATATAACCTCAAATATAAACTAAGAGGAGGTATTTTAGGCCTTAGGCGCATGATTTATATAAATCATCTTTCAAAAACAAATCACCAAGTCCCAAGATGACACACTTTTAAGCTCGTCTGAGACACAATTGAGATAAACATTCTGACAAATTTTTATGAAAATCTAATTAAAAAATGTGAACTCTAAAGTGTTAACAAGGTTTTTATTTGATCAGCTGACCTAGATTTTGACACAAATGACCCACTTTCGAAAATGGCAGTATTTAATCTTTCAGCTATGAGAGGCAAGTTATTCGAAGTTGGAGAATCCTAAGAGAACTAGAACTATCACTAATTGTGATTAATATCCCCGCAAGACTGCTTCAGAAGTGAAGAAGTTACTAGTAACAAAAAACCTTGTAAAACAATTGAACTGGAGTTATGGTTGTGTGGCAGTTAATGATAGTTATGGTTCTTGTATGTTGCATTTCCTTTCAATGTGGTTAACCATTGATAAAGTTTAATTGAATTACTCTGTAATAAGTCCAGAAAAGTTACACTAAGGGCAATAACTATGTAATTTAATTTGTCTAGATAGAGTTATGGTTCTTGTGCACTGCACTTCCTCTCAATGTGCTTGACCATTGCATTTAGTTGTACTGAATTCCAACCATTTAGTCTTCAAGTAATGCTCCGGACAAAAAAAAAGCAATGGAAAAGTAACAAAGGACAATAACTTGGTTCTTGTGCACTGCACTTCCTATTATTGTGCTTGACCATTGTATAAACTTGTTTGACATTGTATGAACTTGTTTTGAATTCCAACCAGTAGTTTTCAAGTTATGCTCCGGACAAGGAAAAGTAACAAAGGGCAATAACTCTGTAATTAGTAAAGATAGAGTTATGGTTCTTGTGCATTGCACTTCCTCTCAATGTGCTTTGTATGAACATGATGAAGTTGTATTGAATTCCAACCATTAGTCTTCAAGTCTCCGGACTAGGAAAATGCAACAGACTGCTTGACAAACCGACCAACCACTTGGCGACTCCTAGTTAACCTCCCAAACTTTGTTTTGGGGGGTATAATATGAGCTGCTATTTTCATAGATACAATACACATATCTTTATCATATACCTGAAACTGACATATGTTGTTATCAGTGATATACATTAAACATTCTATATTATAAACCTGAATCTCGTATGTGTCTATATCAATAATATAGATTTTTGTTCCGCAAGCTGCCCACATATTATCTCCTACACAGATAAGGGAGGTAACAGGATTCAATCCTAGAGTTATTCTCCTTGATTCACTCCAAACACCATCTGAAAAGAAACATTTTGCAACAATTGTTTAATCTGCTGAATATGTAACCATATACAGTCTGTTCTATGTTTAAGCGATTTCAATATCAAAATAGAAAAATAAAGTTACAAATAGTCAAGAACCTGGTAGGACTTAAAGGATCTAAGGGCATGTCTGACTTTGTAATGGTGGAAATGCTAATCATGTTTGGTTCCAACAGGTTAAAGTTTAAGTTCACTTAACATTATCACTAGATCTTTTATGATTTGAACAAGAAGAGTTTAGGTCTTTGATGACAAACTTATTGTTTTGATATTATACTGTAGTCCAAGTGGCCTACGCCTTTGATCTTTTGGGCTGAAAATTATTATGGCAGATAAAACTCATGTACATACAAAGTTTCAAGGTTCTAGGTCAATGCACTCTGCTTGAATGGCCAATTAAATGTTTTGAAAGGCACAGTTACCTTACCTTTACGCTATATACGGGTGTGCCAGAAAGAAATCATTAAGATACATCTAGGTCAATGCACTTTGTTAAATGGCCAGTTTTATGTTTGCTATTTCAGGTCCCAGTGACCTTGGTACACACATGGATACATACATGTATTTATAAATGTAGAACAGCTAAATAAAGAACCCCTAACTAGGGCCATTTAAAATTTTGTATAAGCTTGCCCATATAAAGGTTCAATATTGCTGCAAAGGTAAATGAACCAAACAGACACAAGCCCTACAATGGTTACTAACAGCTCTCCCCTTATAACACCAGTAAAAGATGGTTTCAAGTGCAGTACAATCAAATGTAAACTTTAAAACAAGATTGCATTTGTGAAAAATGCTATGACATCTTATTAACACAACATTAAATAGGAACAGAATTTCTTTGTTTCTATACAATTGAAGATTGCCATAATGCATAGATCCCTGACCCATCTTATTATTTTCTGATAAGTGGTTAAATCTATTGTTATTCAAATAAAAGATAGAAGTAGGAATCTATCAATGCAGTTTAGTCTAGTGAATTTGGTGGTGAAGGTCATATTTCACATGGCTTAATTTTCATGACTGTACATCAAAGGACAACAAAGTAAGACACTTTGTCAAAATCTAGGTGAGATGATAACAAAGTTCACTAAACATCTTAATCTGTGCACATGGTTCAAATTTCATAGCTGTACATGAAAGGACAAGAAAGTAATCACATCATCAAAATCTAGGTCACCTGATATCACAGTTCAATTTTACAACAAAACCTGTGCACATGGTCCAACTTTCATGGCTATACATCAAAGGACAAGGAAGTAAGTCACTGTGTCCTTGGGTAAGGTTAAACTTTGACCCAAGAGTTTAATTCAAACAATCTTGATACAGGTCTACCAAACAACGTTTCATGTCAAATATCTAAGCTGTAGCTTTCTCAAATTCAGAAAACAATTGTTTTACTATGTGTACATAATGAAAATTAATGCCCCCGGGCAGGGCCAATTTTGGCACCAGGGAACAACTTGAACAACTTTGGTAGAGGACCTATATTATTTAGCAAACATCAAAGCTTTAAGCCTTATACCTTCGAATAAGAAGATTTTTTATTTTTTTACAAAATGTACATAGTGAAAATTAATGACCCCCGGGATGGGGCCAATTTTGACCTTAGGGCTATAATTTGAACAACCTTGGTAGAGGTCTACCAGACAATGCCTGATGCAAGATATATATGCTCTAGGCCTTATGGGTCTTTACAAGAAGATTTTTTCAATTTATTCTTCGATTCATTTAGATTGTCATGGCAACCAGATTTCAGAATGGAATGAACAGCTTTGAAAGCCCTTCACCCAAGGATCAATCCTGCCAAGTTTGGTTGAAATTAGTCAAGTGGTTTTTCACAAGAAGATTTTTTAAGTTCACATGTCATCTATAAAACACACAAACATACATACACACAAACACACAGGTGAATCGCTATATGCCACCATATCGCAGATGCTGCTGTGGTGGCATAATAAAACTTATGTCATTATCAATATTAACATTAATCATTTAAAATCATAAAAAATTGTATTTGCAGCAGAGGATAACAATAATATTTATTTGATATTGGCCACCTTCCCCTAATCACAAGCTATCCAGATGGCTTTCGGCCAATACAGAATGTCGGTAGTTCTACTCAGGTTGCCATTCTTGCCTAGAATAATGTTCAGAGGGGCACCTGAGGTTTTCTTTCACCAGTAAAGCTGGAAAGTCACCATATGTCCTAAACTGGGTTGGTGTGACAAATATATATATGATATTGAAATATTATTTAATTGTTTTGAGTGAATATGAAATACATTGCACTTGCTCATGGTAACCTATAATATTTTCTCATATTCAAATTTCTCAAATTCTCATTTTGATGTGAGACATTTTTTAATATTACTCGAAATTTATCATACCCAATTTCAAAATTTTTGTGATCAAACTACTGAAACAATACATGAAATTACACATAAGCTGAGTTAGATGACATTACTGCCAAGTCTGACAGTTATCTGCTGTGTAATCTATGAGACATGATCAAAAAGTTCTTGGCCTGATATACTTCTAGCCACTACACTGACATTTACACACAATTCGTTGATACTGATATCTTATTGAAGTTTACTGACCGAGTTACAGTTTTACACAGAATAAAAAACATAAAACACACTTTGATCAGTAGAGGGGTGTGTCATTTAGACCAAATGGAGAAAGTTGAAATCAGAGCCGTCATTAAGTACCTCTGTGAGAAAGGAATGTCCCCCATGGAAATCCATGAAGACTTCATGGATACACTTGGGAAGGAGTCCCCTTCCTATAGCACTGTCAAAAATGGGCTGCTAAATTTAAGAGGGGCAGGGAGAGCATTGAAGATGATGAGCAGCCTTGCAGCTAAAGCTGTGCACCATCTGATCATGTGCTACAGAAGGGGAGACCTGCGAAGAATTGCATAAGCTTTGGTTCAGTTCAGGCAATTCTGACTGATGTCTATGGCATGTCTAAGGTTTCCGCTAGATGGGTCCCCAGAGAGTTGACTGATGACCAGAAACAGACCAGACTTGACATTTCAAGATATCTTTTGTTTTGCTACGAGGATGAACCTGATTTTATCTTGTAACTCAGGATGAAATATGCATCCATCAATTTGGTATGAAATCCAAGAAACAAAGCATATGGGTGAATCACCCTGATTCACCCCCTACAAAGAAATTCAAGAGGGTGTCATCAACAGGGAGGATGATAGCTTCAATTTTTTGGGATTGTCAGGAGATAATCATGATTGACTATTTTGATCAAGAGCGTACCATAAACAGTATGTACTACGCAGACGAATTGAGACATCTGCGTCAAGAAATCGCGCATAAAAGGAGGGGCAAACTGACTCAAGGCGTTCTGCTCCTGCACGACAATGCGTCAGCTAACACATCCCAAGTTGCGATGGCTGCTGCAACTAAGTGCCGCTTTGAAATTCTTCCCCATCCCCTATATTCTCCGGACTTGGCCCCCTCTGACTTCCACCTGTTTCTGATACTGAAAACCAAGCTTCGTTGTAGATGTTTTGGAAGCAATGAAGGTGTCATGGAGGTGGTCAATGAGTTCTATGAGAACTAAAATAGAGAGTTCTATTTTGAAGGGTTTAACAAGTTGGAGCAGGAGTGGGCAAAGTGCATTGATGTAGAGGGCGATTATATTGAAAAGTAAGACCATTAGTTGAGTTCTCTGACTACCGGAAGTACATCGGGCCAAGAACTTTTTGATAAATCCTGGTACTTTGTTATATCCATCAATGTTTAGAGCAAAAACCCATATTACATATTTCATTTCATTTAAAACAGTGTGATATGATATATATTTCACTGATCTCACTGTCATATCACAACAAAAGCATAAGATAAGATAATAATTATTAATACAAACCATCATTTCTGGAGAAAATGATCACCTTCCCATTCCTATTTCCACAAAACATAAGATCGTCAATGTATCTCATAGAGATAGTTATACAGCCAACTTCAAATGTATAAATACAGTGTCTATGTAAGTCTGCTTGCCTCTCACTTAGCATAAATACTTGGATCCTGTAATTACAGTAGAAAAGTTCTTAAGTTCTAGTGTCTGCCCCTTGAAATTACTAAAATAAAAGAAAGAAGGTGCTTCAGTTTCTCTTGAATTATACTGGTAGTACAAGTACCTTGAAAATTCAAATTTAACTATATGATTATAAACAGCCAATGAAAAGCTACAAGGTTTAGACTGGCTTACATAATTAATTACAAAATGGAAAATAAGTGTTTTAAACAGCTGATCAGCTAGGAGGTTTCAGACTTGTTCTCAGATTTTCAAAAACTTACTCTGAGTCTGATGTACTCATCCAGACTGTGTCTTCTTCAAATGCTGTCTTTGATCTGACCCTGGCATAACCTGGCACAGTCTCTACACATATAATCATACATTTAGTGGCCTGAAATGATTCTATTAAAGATGGCTTGTCTGTATGAAGAGATACAACAGAGACTTGACCATGACCTTCATTGGAGGAGCAAATCCACAGATGTTCCATAGAACCTTCATTTTTCTTTGGAAAGTACACCTTCACACCACATGATACCTGATTGTAAATGAAAGCATGACTCTAAAATAACATAATATTTGTAACTTGAAGTTTTTTCAGAATACTATAATTATGTACCATGCATATCTTGAGCAGCATTCAGTCAACGTTTTAACACATATTCTTAGTGTAGGTACTTGGGCTAACATAACATCACCTTTTTGAAAAACTCATACAGATGTGACACATAAAAGTGACCACTCTGTGAAAATAACAGTATCAATTTGCCAAATAGACAGTGGTCATTTGTCACATAAAGCAAAGGTCAATTCAGTAAGATCAACTACAGTAAATTATAATGGTGACTGGCTGCCAAAATTGCAAGTGGTAACATAACAACATAAATATAAATAAACATAAATAAATAATGAGATAAATGATCCATTTTATGTAGGTCTAGATTAAACTTGTGTGCAACATTTCAGACTTGGCTCACAATTTGCAGTCAGTTTTTCCAGAAGAATTATTTTATTAAGGAAAAAAAAAATGACCTGAAATTAAAAAGCATTACAATGCTCAATTTATTTATGATTTGATTTCTTGGTTTGCTTTTTCACATATTTCTGACTTAAGTGCCCAAACTAATCTTTGTAAGAGTTTCAAATTTCATGTGTTTATGCTTTTTGATCTCAGTGACGTTCCTTTAATAGTTTTTTTAAATGGTTAAATCCCTTATGAGAAATGCAGGCACTTGCATAATTGAAAATTTATAGGTTTTAATATAAAAATGTATATATACAAAATCTATTTATAATTATAGATATTTATGTTAATTGTTTTATTATAGAAAAATGCAGGGTTTGAGCTCAGATGCACAATTATATAATCACTGAGGAATTTGAAGTTCTCTGTGATTTTTTTCAAAGCTTTTGTATGATTAACCATTCATTATTTTTCAACAAAGCAAGAACAGTTAATATATATTTTCATTGTTACCTGGTAAGATAATCAATAAAGATATACAAGTAAATGGGATATAATCTAGATGAATGGTTATGAAACTTCGAAGGCAAAATTATATTGTTTAAAGGGTTTAAATCTCAAAGTACTAACTCAAAACACAAGAAAGTATCAGAGTACTAAAATCTTTGTCATTTGTTTCAAAGTTAAAGTGAGCATCTGGACATGTCCGTATTTTCAAAATTTCAAACGTTTAGCACTCAATAAAAAAGAAAGTCACTGGGTCAACTGATTACAGAATTTATCGGAATATACAGTCATGTATTGCCAACAAAAATCATTGTATAACTCACATAAGACAATATAACAAGAGGGCCATGATGGCCCTGGATCGCTCACCTGACACAACCGCATCCAAGCAATGTCTTGAACAAGCATCATGGCCAAGTTTGATGACAACTGAGTCAAACATGTGACCTCTAGTGTGTTATAAAGATTTTTTCATATTTGGGCAATGTAACCTAATTTTTGACCGGACACGACCCATATTAAAACTTGACCTAGAAATCATCAAAACAACCTTCCTGACCAATTTCCAAGAAATTTGAATCAAAACTGCAGCCACTAGAGTGTTAAAAAGATTTTTCTATTTTTAGCTCCTGTGACCTAGTTTTTAACCGGACATGACCAATCTTAGCACTTGACCCAGAAATCATCAAAACAACCTTCCTGACAAATTTCCAGAATATTTGAATCAATACTGCAGCCACTATAGTGTAAACAAGCTTTTTCTATTTTTCGCTCCTGTGACCTAGTTTTTGACATGAGATGACCCATCTTCGAACTTAACCCAGAAATCATCAAAACAACCTTCCTGACAAATTTCCAGAATATTTTAATCAATACTGCAGCCCCTAGAGTGTAAACAAGCTTTTTCTATTTTTAGCTTCTGTGACCTAGTTTTTGACCGAAGATGACCAATCTTCAAACTTGACTTAGATATCATCAAAACAACCTTCTTGACAAATTTCCAAAATATTTAGATGAAAACTGCAGCCTCTAGAGTGTTAACAAGCTTTTTTTAGCTCCTGTGACATAGTTTTTTACCTGAGATGACCCATCTATGAACTTGACCTAGAAATCATCAAAACAACCTTCTTGAAAAATTTCCAGAATGTTTGGATGAAAACTGCAACCATTAGAGTGTTAACAAGCTTTTACTATTTTTAGCTCATGTGACCTAGTTTTTGACCAGACATGACCCATCTTCGAACTTGACCTAGAAATCATCAAAACAACCTTCCTGACAAATTTCCAGAATATTTGAATCAAAACTGCAGCCACTAGAGTGTTAACAAACTTTTTCTATTTTTAGCTCCTGTGACCTAGTTTTTGACCGGAGATATCCCATCTTCGAACTTGAACTAGAAATCATCAAAACAACCTTCCTGACAAATTTTAAAATATTTGGATGAAAACTGCAGCCCCTAGAGTGTTAACAAGCTTTTTCTATTTTTAGCTCCTGTGACCTAGTTTTTGACCGGACATGACCCATCTTCAAACTTGACTTAGATATCATCAAAACAACATTCTTGACAAATTTCCAGAATATTTAGATGAGAACTACAGCCACTAGAGTGTTAACAAGCTTTTCCTATTTTTAGCTCCTGTGACCTAGTTTTTGACCGGACATGACCCATCTTCAAATTGACCTAGATATCATCAAAACAACCTTCCTGACTAATTTCCAGAATATTTAGATGAAAACTGCAGCCTCTAGAGTGTTAACAAGCTTTTTCTATTTTTAGCTCCTGTGACCTAGTTTTTGACCGGACATGACCCATCTTCAAATTGACCTAGATATCATCAAAACAACCTTCCTGACTAATTTCCAGAATATTTAGATGAAAACTGCAGCCTCTAGAGTGTTAACAAGCTTTTTCTATTTTTAGCTCCTGTGACCTAGTTTTTGACCGGACATGACCCATCTTCAAACTTGACCTAGATATCATCAAAACAATCTTCCTGACAAATTTCCAGAATATTTGGATGAAAACTGCAGCCACTAGAGTGTTAACAAGCTTTTTCTATTTTTAGCTCCTGTGACCTAGTTTTTGACCGGAGATGTCCATCTTCGAACTTAACCTAGATATCATCAAAACTACCTTCCTGACAAATTTCCAGAATATTTGGATGAAAACTGCAGCCACTAGAGTGTTAACAAGCTTTTTCTATTTTAAGCTCCTGTTACCTAGTTTTTGACCGGAGACGGCCCATCTTTAAACTTGACCTAGATATCATTAAAACAACCTTCCTGACATATTTCCAGAATATTTGGATAAAAACTGCAGCCTCTAGAGTGTTAACAAGCTTTTTCTATTTTTAGCTCCTGTGACCTAGTTTTTGACCCGAGATAACCCATCTTCGGACTTGATCTGTATTTCATTGAGACAAACATTCTGACAAAGTGTGATGATGATCCAATCAAAACTGTGACTGCTAGACTGTTAACAACCCAATTGTTAAGAGTGTTAACAAGCTTTTTCTATTTTTAGCTCCTGTGACCTAGTTTTTGATCGGAGATGACCCATCTTCGAACTTGACCTAGATATCATTAAAACAACCTTCCTGACAAATTTCCAGAATATTTGGATGAAAACTGCAGCCTCTAGAGTGTTAACAAGCTTTTTCTATTTTTTAGCTCCTGTGACCTAGTTTTTGACCCGAGATAACCCATCTTCGAACTCGATCTGTATTTCATTGAGACAAACATTCTGACAAAGTTTGATGATGATCCAATCAAAACTGTGACTGCTAGACTGTTAACAACCCAATTGTTGACGACGCACGACGACGGACGCCGGACATAGCCCCATCACTATACCTCACCTTGACCACTTCGTGGTCAGGTGAGCTAAAAACTGTAGTTTAAAGGACTGTTAATAAAACAGTCTACTCCACTATTTTAAGTACTTGGCTAGAAGTGGGAATGATGGTCACTGAAAAGTATTTAAAGTTTCAAAGCAATATACTACAAAGGGTATAGAAAATAAGTGTGTTGGTACAAAAAATTTATTCAAAATTCTAAATGTAAAAAGGGGCTTAATTTTGTCAAAATCCATGACAGTTATGTCCTCTTCCTTGGAAGTGGGAAAGATGACTACAAACAAGTATTCACAGCAATACCTCAAAGGGTATAGGAAATAGGTGGGGTGGTAAGAAAACTTAACAAAAAGTGTGATGCGGATGCCAACACAATTGCGGACACCTTGGTGAGCTACTATATGTCTGATATAATGATTTAATAGTAAAGTTAAAAATGTAACTGATTGCTATGGAAAATCAATGGTTGCTACTAAAGTCATTGCTAGCCAAAGAAGGTAAATGGTTGCTATGAAAGTCACTGGTTGCTAAAGGCAGTCAATAGTTGCAATGGTAGTCACTAATAGTTAAGGACAGTCAACGGTTGCTATCTAAGTCAGATGTTGCCATGGATTGTTAGAGAAGTCAGTTGTGCCTGAGGGAAGTCAACAGCCGCTATTTATAATATAAATCACATGTTGCCATGGATGGTAAAGGCTGTTATGGAGGTCAGCTGTTGCTGAAAAAAGCCAATGGCTATTGCTTTGGAAGTCAGTTGTGGCTAAGGGAAACAAAAATTGGAACAAAGTGATCCCTTAGAAGAATAAATCACAACAAAATAACATGAAAATTGCAGACTCAGTTTGATTGAGTCTGTACATGAGGGATTATGAATAAGTGCAACATCCCTCATGCCCCTAGCACCGGCTTGAATGGTAACCAATTCTCAATGCCATCAATTATCCCGAAGGACCAGACTAAAGTGAAGTACAGGGCAACTTTTTACAGCTTCCACATGGCACTTGGCACCTGCTTTTGTGAAGTATAAATCTGGAAACAAAGATATCTCTCGGAAGCATTAATCAAAACAAAATTACATGAAAATTGCATACTCTGTTTGGGTCTGTACATGAGGGATAATTAATAAGTGCAACATCCCTCATGCCCCCCTAGCACGGGCTTCAGCGGTACTCAATGTCAACAGTTGCTAACTTAGTCATATGTTGCTATGGATGGTCAAAGGCTGTTATGGATGTCAGTTGTGGCTTAGGGAAGTCAACAGTTGCTATTTAAGTCATATGTTGCTATTGATGGTAAATGCTTCTATTGAAGTCAGTTGTTGTTTAAGATAAGCCAATGGTTGATGTGTTTAAAGTTAGTTGTGGCTTAGGGAAGTAAATATTTATTATGAGATTCACTGGTTTCTAAGGAAAGTCAATTGTTACTTTGAAAATCATTGGTTACTAAGTTAGCTCAACAGAAGACATTGGTTGATATGGAACACCACAACACAAGTATTTGGTCAAATCCCGGCAGCTGACCCACCTAACTGACTTTTCTGGTAAACAAATTAGAAATTGAAAATTTTCCTTACAAGCGACCAAATACTAATTCATATGCATTATAAGTTGGTTGACTGAATTTGCATCTTTTTCAATAACAAGAGGGCCAAGATGGCCCTTGATAGCTCACCTGACCCATTAAACTCATCCAACAATTACTTTGACAAGGTTTCTGACCATGTCTGATGGCAATTGAGTCAAAAATGTGACCAATTGACAAGGTTTTTCCATATTTGGGCAGTGTGACTTCAGGTGACCCATTTTTATACTTGACCTAGAATTCAACAAAACAAGCTTTTAGTCAAATTTCCAGGATATTTTGATTAAAACAGTAGCCACTAGAGTGTTAACAAGGCTTTTCTATTTTTAGCTCCTGTGACCTAGTTTTTCATCCTAAAAGACCCATGTCCAAACTCATGTGAGCAATTAACTAGACAAGCATCCTGACTAAGTTTGATTACAATTGAGTCAAAAATGTGACCACTAGAGTGTTAACAAGGTCTTGCCATATTTGGACAGTGTGGCCTAGTTTTTGGCCCCAGGTGACCCATATTCAAAATTGACCAAACAAACTTTCAAACCAATTTCGAACATTTTTAGATCAAAACAGTGGTCACTAAGAGTGTAAACAACATTTTTCATATTTAGCTCCTGTGACCTAGTTTTTCATCTGAGATAACCCATATTTGGACTCAATACCAACCACCTAGACAAGCATCCTGACCAAGTTTGATGACAATTTAGTAAAAAATGTGACCACTAGAGTGTTAACAAGGTTTTTCCATATTTAGGCAGTGACCTAGTTTTTGACCCAAGGTGACCCATGTTTACTCTTAACCTAGAAATCACAAAACAAACTGTCAGACCAATTTCAAGGATATTTGGATCAAACCATTTGCCACTAGAGTGTTAAGAAGATTGTTTCTATTTTTAGCTCCTGTGACCTAGTTTTTCATCAGAAATGACCCATGTTCGAAATCATATAAGCAGTAAAATAGATAAGCATCCTGACCAAGTTTGAAGACAATTGAGTCAAAAATGTGACCACTAGGGTGTTAACAAGGTTTTTCCGTATTTGGGCTGTGTGACCTAGTTTTTAACCCCAGGTGAGCCATATTCGAACTTGACCTAGAAATCATCAAAACAAAATTTCAGACCAATTTCCAGGATATTTGAATCGAAACAGTAGCCAATAGAGTGTTAACACGATTTTTCATATTTAGTATCAGTGACCTAGTTCATCAACCATAGACCAGCAGTAGACCTGTGAAAGCCGGGCAAGATTTTTCTATTAATAGCTCTGGCTGCCATTTTGTACAGCAGAGCAAAATGTGCCAGCAATATGCCTAACTAGGGATGGTACTGATCACTTCTGTGAAGTTTCATTGAAATCCCGCCCGAGTTTTACCTATGAAATATTGTTCAAAGAACTTTGGACAGACGCACTAACACTGGACTTATGATGTTGAGTAACCTTGAGCAAGTTGTGCCCTAGTGAGATGAAATGATCCAGAAAGATGGCAATGGCACTTTTTGTTTTCTTTCATCTGTTTTACTCAGGTTAAAAATTTGATTGATATACTACATACCCTGGTGAATGTCCTCTGCATATCTACAGACATATGTTTCATAAGTAAGGCAGGCTGAGCATTATCTGTGTCATCTTGCCTATGCCAACTTGGTATATTTATAATGTCTGAAAAAAACAACAACATGCAACTCATTCAAATCATTCTTCAAACAGCTGATTTCCTGATATATTTTTGGGAAGGTTTTTGTCATATCCAATGATAACCAATCAAACTGTGCAGCATTAAAGCTATAAAAGTGATATATGACTACCTATTGTTAGATGTTTGATTATTTAACAAATAAAACATGGCCTTGAGGGCAATATGCAAGTTTACGGACTGATTGGTCAGACTGAGGAAGGTATATGGCCCGAAGCGCAGCTGAGGGACATATACCTTCCGAGGTCTGACCAACCAGTCCGTAAACTTGCATTTTGCCGAAAGGCCATCTTTTATTTGTTATTATATACCGAATTCACTTTTGTTGCTGACAATTTTACTACAATTTACTTTCAAATGCACATCACTTCATATGGTTAACATTTTTGCCAAGTACTGTCATTTCCCTCAGCATGTATCAAAGATACAGACCAGACATAACAAGAGGCCATGCTGACCCTGAATTGCTCACCTGAATATGAAAACTCTCCATGAAAAGGAACAAGTAATACTGTAAACTACAAACAAGAGGGCCATCATGGCCCTCAAGAGGGCCATCATGGCCCTGAGTCACTTACCAGAATCATAAATTATTTTTCAAATGAACTTGCCGGAAGGTACGTCCAGCTCAAGTTAAACTTGCCCCTCTAGTTATATTCTTTCACAACTCTGATTGATTTTTTTCTTCATAATAAACAAAAGGGACAAGATGGCCGTAGATCAATATAACCCATGATTTCATTGTTCACTATATAAATTGAAATATTTTGTCCTATTATTTTGGAAAGGCTTTGTGAAAAATATCTATGCTGCAAGTGTGCTCCTATCACACTATGTAGAATAAATGCAGAATAAATGAACACTAGAGCAGTGTTAATTTTGATTGGACATTTTTTATAACTTTTGGGAATACAAAAAATGTCACATGCAAAATATGTAAGGTGTAGATGTTTGCAGTTTACGGTTTGGGACAACAAATTCTTTATACATTCTATATGGTTACATAACTTATACTTCAAAAAAATGACAATAGGTCAAACAATGTAAACTAAAGGGCCATGATGGCCCTGAGGTCGCTCACCTGTATAAAGGCACCCTGAGCGGGGCCAGTTTAAACCCCGGGGCTTTTATTTGAACAAACTTGGAAGACACCCATTAGAAGATGTTTCACGCTGTTAAGTTTTAACTACACACATATAATGAAAAACAACAATCTACCCCCCTCCTTCCGCCCCCCACCCCTTGGCAGGGCCAATTTTAACCCAAGGGCTTTTATTTGAACAAACTTGGTAGACACCCATTAGAAGATGTTTCATGCTAAACATCTAAGCTCTAGCTCATTGGGTTTTTTTAAAAGAAGATTTTTTAAGTTTTTACTATACACATATAGTTTAAACCAATGACACCCCTGGGGCGGGGCAAATTTTGACCCCAGGGCTTTTATTTGAACAAACTTTGTAGACTATTACTAGAAGATGTTTCATGCTTAATATCTAAACTCCAGCTATATGGGTTTTTTCAAAGAAGATTTTTAAAGTTTTAACTATATGCATATAGGGAAAATCAATGACCCCCTGGGGCGGGACCAATTTTGACCCCAGGGCTTTTATTTGAACAAACTTTGTAGACACTCATTAGAAGATGTTTCATGCTAAATATCTAAACTCTAGCTATTTGGGTTTTTCAAAGAAGATTTTTTAAGTTTTTACTATATGCATATAGGGAAAATCAATGACCCCCTGGGGCGGGGCCAATTTTGTTCCCAGGGCTTTTATTTGAACAAACTTGGTAGACACTCATTAGAAGATGTTTCATGCTAAATATCTTAGCTCTATATCTTTGGGTTCTTTAAAAGAAGATTTTTTTAGTTTTTACAATATGCATATAGGGAAAATCAAAAACCCCCTGGGGCGGAGCCAATTTTGACCCCAGGGCTTTTATTTGAACAAATTTGGTAGACACTCACTAGAAGATGTTTCATGATAAATATCTTAGCTCTAGCTTTTTGGGTCCTTTAAATGAAGATATTTTAAGTTTTTACTATATGCATATAGGGAAAATCAAAGACCCCCTGCGGCGGGGCCAATTTTGACCCCAGGGAATTTTTTTGAACAAACTTGGTAGACACTCATTAGAAGATGTTTCATGCCAAATATTTAAGCTCTAGCTCTTGGGTTTTTTTTAAGAGAAGATATTTAAAGCTTTTTCTTTCGGTTGCCATGGCAACCAGAGTTCTGCATGGAATTAAATTTTTAAAGGTGACCACCAAAGGAACATTCCTGTGAAGTTTGGATGAAATTGGCTTACTGGTTTATGAGGAGATGTCATTTAAAGTAAAAGTTTACGGACGGACGGACGCCGGACGAAAAGCGATCACAAAAGCTCACCCTGTCACTTTGTGACAGGTGAGCTAAAAATCAAAAGTAGGCCAGCTGATATCAAAATTCAATTCAGCATCAGAAATTACACTCCTAATACAAATTTCAAGCCTGATCACCTGTGAAGGTAAAGGCCCCATGAGTTCTTGATCAGAGATGGTTTTTACCTATAAGGTCAATGTAATCTTGACCTCTGACCCATTGACCCCAAAAATCCATTGTAGTCATCTTCAGGCCATAAGCCATGCATTTTTGAAGTTTGAAGGTCAAGGGTGCATGGATTTTTGAAAGGAAATTGTTTTGACATACAAGGTCGAGTTGACCTTAACCTTTGTACCCCCCTGACCCCAAAATCAACTGCAGTCATTTTCTGGCAAAGACCAATGCACCTAAGCAATTTGAGGGCAATGGCCCATGGGTTGGCAAGTTATTGATAAAAAAATAAGACCTTGACCAAAGACCTCTTGACCCTAAAATCACTAGGTGTCATAAACTTGCCAAAACCAATGCACCTACAAAATTGGAGGGTCAGCAGCTCATGGTTTTTCAAGTTATTGATCAGAAACTGTATTTACCTACAAAAACAGTTTTTACCTACAAGGTCAATGTGACCTTGACTTTTGACCCCTTGACCCCAATATCAATAGGAATCATTTACTGGCTTTCACCAGTGCATCTATGCATTTTAACCCATGTGTTGTCAAAGTTATTGATCAGAAAATTGTCAAACATGTACTAAACAATGCATAACTAGGCTTGGTGACAAACAGTTTTGTGAAGTTTCACTGAAATCTCCCCAATCAGTTTTGGTGATGCAGCTTGGACAAGCTTATTTTACTCAAAAATTAACCATTAAGGGGACATAACTGTGCAAACTAGAGCTATCTCTAAATGTGATTAATACCCCTGCAAAACTGCTTCGGAAATGAGGAAGTAACTAGTTACAGAATACCTTGTGAAATAATTGAAATAGAGTTATGGTTGTGGACAATTAAAGATAGTTGTGGTTCACGTACGTTGCATTTCCTTTCCCTTCGGTTAACCATTGATGAAGTTTTATTGAATTACTCTGTAATATGTCAAGATAGAGTTACAGCTCTTGAGCATTGCACTTTCTCTCATTGCATTTGACCATTGTATGAAGTGAATTCCAAACATTAGTTTTTAAGTTATGCTTTATTATTTGTTTATTTTGGTTTTTACGTCACATCAACACAGTATAGGTCATATCACGACGTTCCAGCTTTACTGGTGGAGGAAGACCTCAGGTGCCCTTCCGTGCATTATTTCAGACACGAACGGGCACCCGAGTAGATCCACCGACGTTCCGTAAGTTAGCTGGATAGCTTCCTCACATGAAAGAATCCAAAGTCCCTGTCTGGATTCGAACCCGCAGCGGTGAGGGGCAAGTGGTTTGAAGTCAACAACCTTAACCACTCGGCCACGGACGCCCCCTTTAAGTTATGCACCTGACAAGGAAATTAAACAAAGGGCAATTACACTGCAAATATTGAAGATGGAGTTATGGTTATTGTACACTGTATGTCCTCTCACTGCGCTTGACCATTGTATGAAGTTGTATTGAATTCCAACTACTAGTTTTCAAGTTAAGCTCAGGACAAAAAAAAATGCAATGGAACAGTAAAAAAGGACAATAACTCTGTAATGACTTTAGATAAAGTTATGGTTCTTGTGCACTGCACGTCCTCTTATGGTGCTTGACCATTGTATGAAGTTGTTTTGAATTCCAACCAGTAGTTTTCATGTTATGCCTAGGACAAGGAAAAGTAGCAAAGGACAATAATTCTGTAATTAGTCAAAATGGAGTTATGGTTGTTGTGCACTGCACTTCCTCTAAATGTGCTTGACCATTATATGAAGTTGTATTGAATTCCAACCATTAGTCTTCAAGTTATGCTCCGGACAAGGAAAATGCAACGCTGGACCTACCGACTGACCAACCGACAGACCACGGAGGGACTCCTATATACCTCCCCAAGCTTTGTTTCGGGGGTAAAAAAAATCTTTAAGCAGAAAATTATGATACTATGCACAACTAGTTATGGTGACAAACAATCCTGTGAAGTTTCACTGAAATCTCCCAAGCCGTTTTGGAGATGAAGCACAGAAAGGATTACCGGATGGACGGACATACAAAACGGTACGTATGTGACTTTTTCTTTGTACGTTTTAGTCATTTTCAGTCACACAAGGCCTAAGAAAAGACACAATAGTAAAAATGGAATGAATAGGATAAAAAAAAATGTAACGTTACCTATTGTTTTCCAAGTCACTGGGTTTGTACGCACGGACAAAAGGACGGACAGACAGTGCAAAATTATATGCTGCCCTTCAGTGGCATAAAAAAAATACATAAAACAAAGAAAGAAAAAATACTTTGATGTCAAAGGAACTGAATTTGTGAAAAAATGTAAAATAAGCTAGCAAATTGAAGTAAAATTAATCACCTTGAGCATATTTTGCCAGTAGAAAGTCTACACACCATTCTTGTTTCACACTAGCACTTGATGCACTGAACACATACTTCCTCTTCCTGTAAAACAGTAAATAAACTTTTATAACTCATTTCAAAGAGAACCAAGGTCATTAAATTATGTGATCTTGCTTGGTTCACATTCAATTTTGACATCAACACCCAATAAGTAAGATTTTCATGGAAGAAAAACCATTCATGCCCTTTAAGAAAAAATATTAGTTTGAGGTTTGCATCCCTGACCTATCTAATACTTATTATCAGATAATTGGTTAAATCTATTGTTAATCCAAAAAAAGATCAGAGTAGGAATATATCAATGCACTCAAGTCTAGTGAATTTGGTGGTAAAGGTATTACATACAGCCTAAATTGCATGACTACATCAAAGGACAACACATTAAGACACTTTGTCAAAATCTAGGTCAGCTGATATCAAAGTTCACTTTACACCTTAATCTGTGCACATGGTTCAAATTTCATAGCCGTACATCAAAGGACAAGAAAGTAGGTCACATCATCAAAATCTAGGTCACCTGATATCAAAGTTCAATTTAACAACTAAAACTGTGCACATGGTCAAAATGTCATTGCTGTACATCAAAGGACAAGAAAGTAGGTCACTGTCCCCTTGGGCAAGGCAAAATTTTGACCCAAGGGTTTAATTCAAAACAATCTTGATATAGGTCACTTTGTGACAGGTGAGCTAATAAATCTGTTTGGACTAGACTGTGTATCAGTCTGGGAGATTTTAGTATGGTAACTTTATCAACTTTATCAACAGTTACCTTCATAAATTCTGGACAAGACTGGCCTGCAATTACTGGGTTTAGGTAACTCAATCATCGGTTCCCACCATAAATATTCTAGGAATCAGTCGGTTTGATTTCCGTTACATTTGTCGTCATAAATAAAGAAGGCTTAAATGTGTCAATTAACAACCTCCAAATATGGAGAAATAAGGTATTTCATATAAATACTAATACAAGATTTTCTAAAGGGATTCAAGAGTGAGATTTCAAGAGTGAGCGTCAAGTCGAAGATACTAGGGTCAGTATAGGGATTTTTGAGAGTTAATACCGAATAGGGATAAAGGGCCATTTCTTTTGTTTAATAGAGGGCCATGGCCTCTTATTCTATTGTTCTGGAATGAATTCTATTGTTCTCTTTTGTTCTGTTTACTATTAGACGGCCCCCTATCCCTTTAAGGCAGTACTGACGGACAGACAGACAGACACCAGGGGGTATAACATAATATGTCCCAAATTTTTTCGGGCATATAAAAAGCAAGCAGAATAAGAAAGTATGCACAACTAGGCTTAAAATGAAAAAAAAATGTGAAGTTGTTTTGGTGATGAAGAGCTAACAAGCTTATTTTTTCTAAACAAGAGAGCTAAGATGACCCTAGATAGCTTACCTGACCCATCAAAGTCGTCCAAGGAATTTATTAGACAAGCATCCTGACAAAGTGTAATGACAAGTGAGTCAAAAATGTGACTGCTAGAGAGTTTACAAGGTTTTTACATATATTGATGGTGCACCATAGTTTTTGACCCAAGGTGACCCATATTGGAACATAACCTTAAAATCGTCAAAACAAACTTGCAGACCAATTTTCAGGATATTTAGATAACAACAGTAGCCACTAGAAGGTTAACAATATTTTTCTATTTTAGCTCCTGTGACCTAGCTTTTCATCAAAGATGACCCATGTTCATACCCATACATCACCTGGGGTCAAAAACTAGGTCATACCGCTCAAATATGGAAAAACCTTCTTAACACTCTTGTGGTCACATTTTTGACTCAGACTTGATCCGGATAATTGTCTAGGTAATTGCTCGGATAAACATGGGTCATCTCAGATGAAAAACTAGGTCACATGAGCTAAAAATAGAAAAATCTTGTTCGCACTCCTGTGGCTATTATGATCCAAATATCCCGGAAATTGGTCTGAAAGTTTGTTTTGATGATTTCTAGATCAAGTTCAACTTTAGGTGACCTGGAGTCAAAAACTAGGTCACGCCGCAAAAAATATGGTAAAACTTAAATAACACTCTAGAGGCCACATTTTTTATTCAACTGTCATGAAACTTGGTCAGGATGCTTGTCCAGGTAATTGCTCGGACGAGTTTGATGGGTCAGGTGAGTGATCTAGGGGCTGATCTTGGCCCTCTTTTTTCTATTTTTAGCTCCTGTGACCTAGTTTTTCATCAAAGATGACCCATGTTGGAACTCATCTGAGCAATTACATAGACAACCTTCCTGACTAAGTGTGATGACAAGTGAGTCAACAAGAGCTGTCACAACAGACAGCGAAGCCAATGAATTATTTAAAACTGGACTCGTTAAGGAAGACTAAAGTATGACTAAAGTATGAAAATTCAATTATGATATAAATATATTTCTTCTTATGTCAAGAAGTTATGGTTGTTAACGTAAATTCCAAGTTCAAAGGAAAATAATTCTGAAAATAGTCACACTAGAGTTATGGCATTGTCACACAACATTAGTGTAATGATAAGAAATATATATTTAAAGATTGAAATAGATACCTTAAAAAGTAAAGACGTTATTACATTTCTTAAAGAAAACTCTAAGTTCAAAGGGAGATAAATCTGAAAATATTGCTTCAAGAGTTCTAAACCTTTTCACATATGATCTGGTTGATGATAAGGAATAAGTATTTGAAGTTTGAGGTAGATACCTTCAAAACTGAACAAGTTCTAGTAAAATATAACATTTTCAAGTAATAAGAAAACTAAGTAAATGGGAAAATAAATGCTTGGAATATTGGTGCTAGAGTTATGAACCTTGTCACATAAGATGTGGTTAATGATAATAAAACAAATATTTAAAGCACGAAGAAATAAGGAAGTAACAGTAAAAAATAATATTTTTTAAGAAAAATGTTCAAGGGGGGATAAATCTGAAAATATTTGTGGTAGAGTTATGAACCTTGTCACATAAGATGTGGTTCACGATAAGGGACATATATTTAAAGTATGAAGCTGATCCCTTAAGAAAAAATTTTTTAAGGTAAATTCTAAGTTTGAGGGGAAATAAATCTGAAAATATTGGCGCTAGTGTTATAAACCTTGTCACATAAGATGTGGTTGATGATAAGGAACATATATTTGAAGATTGAAGTTGATATATTAAGAAATGAAAACGTTTTAGTGAAAAATATTTTACTGCACTAAAACTTAAATGTGAAATCTGGACGCTGACCCTGGGGCGAGTAGGACAGCTCTCCATATACTTTGTATAGTTGAACTTAAAATGTGAACACTAGAATGTTAACAAGGTTTTTCAATATTCGGGCAGTGTGACCTCAGGTGACCCATATTCCAACTAGATCTAGAAATCATCAAAACAAACTTTGAGACCAATTTCCAGGATATTTGGTTGATACAGAATTTATTTTAGTTTGATTGTGTAGGAAGCTATAAGCTTATAGATACATTTTTAAATCTGTTCCTGGAACCAACCAATACTGAGCAATGAGTGTAAAGATTCTTGCTCAAAGAAACAACAACAAGTTGCTCCTGACGGGTTTTGTGGCTAGCAACCATTAGATTACTAGTCAGACACATTAACCATTCGGCCATGTCACCACTTAAAAAAAGGATATTTGAATCAAAACAGTAGCCACTAGAGTGATAACAAGATTTTTCTATTTTTAGCTCCTGTTACATAGTTTTTCATACGAGATAACCAATGTTCAAACTCACCCCACAAGCATCTTACCTAGACAAGCATCCTCACCAGATTTTATGACAAGTAGGTAAAAATGTGACCACTAGTGTTAACAAGGTTCTCCAAATTTGGGCTGTTTTGGACCAAGTTTTTGACCCCAGATGACCCATATTCTAACTTGACCTATAAATCATCAAAACAAACTTGCAGATCAATTTTTAAAATATTTTGAGGACAACAGTAGCCACTTGAGAGTTAAAAATTTGTTTCTATTTTTAGCTGCTGTGACCTAGTTTTTCATCCGAGATGACCCATGTTCATACTCATATGAGCAATAATTATTACTTAGACAAGCATCCTGACCAAGTTTGATGACAAGTGAGTCAACTAGAACTGCCACTGTCATGGCATAAATACCCCCGCATACCACTTTGTCAGGATCAACAGTGGCCATCTAGAGCTCAAGGACAACTTGCCTGCCAAATCTGAGGTTACTAAGCCAGTGCATTGCTAAGTTAGGTATTCTACATGCTTCAAATGTGAAAACGTCAAAATCAATACGCTGCGGACAGGCATTCTTAGGCAATTGAGGGGAAAAGCCATTTTTTAGTCAAGGTCCCTTTGACCTTGGCCTTTGACCCAGTGACCTCAAAATCAATAGGAGTCACCTTATGGTCATGATCAACCTCCAAGCCAAATATGAAGACAGTGGGTCAAAGGAATCTTAAGTTAAAGGGCGGACAAACTTTTGAAGTCAAAGTCCATGTGACCTTGACCTTTGACCCAATGACCTTAAAATCAATAGGGGTCACCTACTTATCATGACTGACCTCCATGCAAAATATGAAGACTGTGGGTCAAAGGAATCTTAAGTAATTGGGCGGACAAGCTTTTTAAAGTCAATGCCCCTGTGACCTTGCCAAATATGAAGACTGTGATACAAAGGTTTCTTAAGTTATTGGGTTTACAAACTTTGTGAAGTTAAAATCCCTGTGACCTTGACTCAGTGACCTCAAGATCAGAAGGGGTCACTTACTAATCATGACTAACCTCCATGCCAAATGTCAAAGGAATCTTAAGTTATTGGGCGGACAAGCCTTTTATCGTCAAGGCCCCTGTGACCTTGACCTTTGATCCAGTTCCCTCAAAATCAATAGGGGTCATCTACTTCTCATGACTCACCTCCATGCCAAATAAAACAAGAGGGCCATGATGGCCCTGGATCGCTCCCCTGACCCATCAACCACATCCAAACAATGACTTAGACAAGCATCCTGGCCAAGTTTGATGACAATGGAGTCAAAAATGTGACCTCTAGAGTGTTAAAAAGGTTTTCCATATTTGGGCAATGAGACCTAATTT